TTAATGATGCTACTTTGAGTTGAGTAATTGTTTTTAACCACGAGTACTGGAGGAATTGATATATTTTTTTCGAAATTAGTTTGATTATCATATGGATTGATTACGGTTACAACGGCGTTGGTTACATCATCAAAATTCAATATGTCATCATCATTGGTATCTTTGCCGGAAATCAAACTGCGTCTAATTCGTTCTTTTTCAATCTTCAATTGATCTTGCCATTTTGAATTAAGTTTGATTAGATTAGACGTTGCTGAAACAAACGGTACAATTTGTCGATCAATACCTGCATTTGAAATATGTTGATCGTGTTCTAAAACAATTTATATTTTTTCTGAATAATATGAGTCATAAAACAATTAATACTTACGATTCATGTGATTGAAACGTCCAACTTTTTCGACAGCTTCAATTGTTTCTTGAATATACACATTTTCTGTTGATTTTTTTGTGGCATTAATTGCAGTAGCTGTAAATTCATCTACACTGCCTATTAGTTGAATCAAATCGTCGATATCATCTACTTCGTATTCACCATCAGCACCTTCATTCGATGGTACAAATATAGGTTCAATCGAATCATTATCGACTTGTGCTTCGGCAATAACTTTAAGTAGATGATCATCACGATTTTTTTTACATTCATGTAAAAGTTGAATATTTTCTATAATATCCCATGAATAAGCAGAAATAAGATCATTTCGAGATTCGAATGCATCTTCCCATGTTTGATCGATGTCACAAAGATCGGCTACATTGCGCCATGGTACAAAAAGTGTGAGAAGTGCACGATTGTATCGTTCTCGAGTATCATCACGATCTTGTCGAGGAATTTGAGGACCATAAAGAACGGGCACATGTATCTCACTATATTTCATCAGTAGATGTGTTGTTGTTTGAGGATGTTCGTTTTGAAAAGAAAATCGTTCATTAGATGGTCGACCTCTTTGATTATCTTGTCGTTCTTGTGCTGTAGAAGATTTTGATAAATATCTTAAATCTGTTTCATTAATTTTTTTCTTATAGAATGTACTGACAAAATCATATAAACACGTGTTATTGAGTTTGTCTGAACGATACTGATAATCAATGCGTGTATTAACAAGAATAAAGTTGCTTTTATCTTCCGCCGGTTGAACTTGAAAATGTTCTTCATCGTTGTTTTCATCGTTAATTGCTTCATCATCAAATACATCCTCATCATCAATTGCATCTATATGTGAAAAAACGTACATTTTTTTAATTATCGTAAATGAATTGCTCCATCTTTTTATATATCAATAAGTAATCATACTCGTATAATTCAACTTGCTTCTCGACACTTATTTATAGCAACAGTACTGAGATCACATTAACACCTTCTCATCGAACATGACTTATTGATGACTTCGCTTCAAAGGTATATTAAGCTGCTTGTTTCCTTTTCTCTTTCCTTTAATTTTTCACAGATTAATTGTTTGTATATTGAACGTTATCCTTCTTCCTATCATTCCTCTTTTCTTTCTGTCTTAACATATACGTGTGCCGCTAATCAATTGTTATAGGTCAACTTTCCTTATGTTCAATTTGAGCATATCGCTATCTCTTTTTCTTCCTCTTTCTTTTTCTTTTTTGCGTCCTTCTTTCTTTTTCTCCTTCTCTCTTCTCTCTTCCTCTCCTCTCTCTCTCTCTCTATGCGTCTCTCACGCTGTACATATTAAAAAAAAGATTGTCACGGCATGAAAGTGAATTAAATAATAAGCATATAAAAGGAATTAATTGAACTTACCCTGCGATGTCGATGGAAGATTTTGTTTTGCACGCATTTCATTTAATTCACTTTGTAAAAAT